CCAAATCCCAGTCAAAGGTGAGTTAAAAGCCTTACAGTCGTGATCGGCCGTAGGCAGTCCAACACCGACTGGTGCAGGACAGGACAATATTCTTGCAGCTAGCATTGGGGCTGTCAAGCGCTTCAGAGAGGGGCCTAAGTGGACCATTTATTAGCCAAGAATAGTGCCAAATTCATGTCTTCATGGCTATGTGGACTACTCTTCTCCTGGACAGCGGCACAGCAACCGTTGGAGGCATCGAGCTATACGCTTTTAGGGTTTTAAGGTTGTAAGTCACATCTGAAGACAATACGTATCTTAAGTCTTGGCATAGGCAGATGAGACGATAAACCTCTGCCGAAATCTTACGCTATTCGGAGAGGTGCCTCGAAAATCAGTCCTGATTATTATATTTTCATCGGCGTAAAAACGACAAACCAAATTCCAAATATTAAAATGATACATGAGTTGCAACGAAAATTAATCCAGATTACCACCTGTACATCGGCATGTAAACGGCACACCAAGTCCGAAAGATTAAGACAATAAACGAGTTATATCGGAAATCTATTCACTTTACATCGACATTTAAAGTGCAAAAATACACATTCGTAATATTGAGATATTCGAAGCGTTGCATCGCAACACAGCTGACTGCCAAAGTACGTTCATTCAGAGATTCAATGCCGCCTGTGCTTCGCCTCGAATACGAACCCTCCACAGATAAAACCATGTATGCATGTATGCATGTATACTTATTATATATATTAATATATATCTATGCATGGATGCATGTATGTTTATATATATATTTATATGTATGCATGTATGTACGTATGTTTGTATATATAATTATATATATCTATGCATGTATGCATGTATGTTTGTATATATATTTATATGTATGTATGCATGTATGCATGTACATTTGAATATATATATTTGTATGTATACATGTATGCATGCATGAGTGTCTTTTTCCGCATCACCCAACTTCTTTCTAGAGCTGGTACATCCACACTTTATTCCTATTCCCATCATGTACTACCAGGTCTATACTTACTAAGGCGAGACTACAACAGGCAACGTCTCATAACGTGTTCAATGCCATCCCTTCTTGGCACCCACCAGAAAGCCTGCGCCAAACCCAGCGCCAGCCCCACCCATATTGGATGTGAGTATGGCTATGTGTAAGGGTAGTATACAGAGGGTAACGTTTGTTAGTAGTGAAACGGGTGGAGAAGAAGTATTAATGTGTTGGATGTGAGTGTGGCTGTGTGTAAGGGTAATATACAGAGGGTAACGTTCATTAGTAGTGAAACGGGTGGAGAAGAAGTATGAATGTGTTGGATGTGAGTGTGGCTGTGTGTAAGGGTAATATACAGAGGGTAACGTTTATTAGTAGTGAAACAGGCGGAGAAGAAGTATGTATGCGCAGGTCATAAAATGTTGAATGAACGAGCAACCAGTGTATATGTGAACAGCAAACCAGACACTAACCTACACATAACAGTATACTAAACACTAACCTACACAGTACAGCATAAAAAACACTAACCTACACAGAACAGCATACTAAACACTAACCTACACATAGCAGCATACTAAACACTAACCTACACAGAACAGCATACTAAACACTAACTTACACATAGCAGCATACTAAATACTAACCTACACATTACAGCAAGCCAAACACAAACTTACACAGAACAGCACACCAAATACAAATTTACAGGGAACTAATTTATAGATAGGCTATTAACTTACAGATAAGCTTATAGCCCTTAAAACTATGCAGATAAGCTTTTAACCTTTCAGCCTACAGACAAGCTTTTAACCTTTTAACCTACAGACAAGCTTTTAACCTTTTAACCTAGAGTTTAGCTTTTAACCTTTTAACTTACAGATAAGCTTGGAGAGTGCCACCTTCAGGTCTTTGCTATCCACTTTCCCGTCGTTGTTCAAGTCCATCCTGCTCAGTGTACTTTGCTCAATCTGTAAGGAAACCCGAATGTACAAAAGGGTGAGAAGGCACCTTATATGTGTGTATGGGTTGAAACATGTCTTTGGGGTGACGACATCAAGAAATATAGTATCTTTGGGGTGAAAAGGAGCCTTGTATGTGTGTATGGTTTAAAACATGTGTGTGTGGTGACCATATCAAGAAATATAGTATCAAGGTACACACACAGGTGGAAAAGAAGCCTTGTCTGTGTATGGTTTAAAACATGTGTGTGTGATGACCATATTAAGAGATATGGTATCCAGGTACACAAACAGATGGAAAACGAGCCATGTATGTGTGTATAGTCCCAACCATGTGTATGTGGTGACTATATTACATAATATAGTATCAAAGTACTCAACACGGCATAGTTATATGCGGATGTGTTTAGATATATGAGGATACCAACTCGTCTACCATGGCGATACAGCGAGCATAGCTGCCGCCTTAATTTGTGCAACGACAAGTTGACATTGTTTTACGTAAACGCAGACAGTTAATATGTCTGTGGGGAGGTTGTCATGAGTCTCACATGCAATACATACGACATTAAGACACGCCATAGAATACTATCAGCACAGTACAACTTAGTGCAGGCCAGTGGTATGGGTAAACACTTCGACCCCTCTCCCTACGATTACAAATGTGCATGTTTCTAATACGATAGACAATAAGAAATTAAGCGCAAGAAACATACACGCACATACACAAACACACGTATATATATATATATATATATATATATATATATATATATATGTGTGTGTGTGTGTGTGTGTGTGATTATAAATATATATATATATATATGTATATATATAACTATATATGTATA